AATCAGATTCTAGAAACAGACGTCGAGAGGGATCTTAAAAAAAAACTAGAAGAAAATAGCGTATCGAGAATATAGAATGTACACAAAAAAATTAAATGAAATTAGAAAAAATTGGAAAAAAACTGGAGGTGTCGAGAGACAGGCATTGTTACTTCCACGAGAAGCGCGCGACCGGACTTTGCAAATCCGGCGCACTTCGCTTCGCCTCGCTCTCCATGCAACTTCACGCGAAGCTCCGGCCGGGGTGAAGTATCGATTCGCGCGTGCGAGACATGAAAAATTGAATCTTGCACCGGGCGCGACGCGGCGCGTTGAAAGTAGGCCCGAAATGGCGCCAAAACTGCGCCGCGACGCGCGGCGTCGCGTCGCGCCAACTTATTTCGGCGTAATCCAACGGGTTGCTCCGATTATCGGAGACGCGCCGAGATCGCCAGATGACAAACGAAAGCGAAAATTTATCGGAGGAACAATCGTTCTCCAAGAATGTCATTAAACGAGAGACAATATCATTAAGCGAGACATAGATCGAATCTAACAGCCGCTTCTTCTCGACGTTGACACTCCAGACGAACGGAGCAACATCGGCGATGAAGTACGTTTGTTTACGCTTTACAGGAAGTGAAGGAGAACGAGAGGCAGGCAGGAGGGCGGGCGCGGGTGGGCGGACACATCGCGCGAAATGGCCGTCGCGTCTGACGTATAGATGATCGGTGCGGCGCGTATAATTTTTCCAACTTTTTGCGCTTTACTTACCGCTCAGCTGCTCGTCCGACGTGTACTTCCCCGAGGACGACATCGTCGTACGATGCGCCGTGGTATGGCACTCGTGGGAGTATAGTCGCTCGCGATGAGGAAATAGAAAGAAACGGAGTTAAGGGGTGAGCGAGCACCAGAAACGAGATGCAGAAACGCACGTAAACGTATAGTATAGTATAAGTATATATGCGCGACAGGACGCTGACGACGCTCACAACTCGACTCGAGGAACGATGCAACGCAACCTGCCGCTACGGACAATCGCGATAAAATGCTGCCGGGAGGGCAGCGCTGCCGTGCTTTGTTTTGACGCACGTCGGCACGCGCATGTGTCAGCTGCGCCAGCCGTCTCCAGCCGTCCCCGGGCCAATCACGTCGCGCCGCGGTGTAAATAGACCGCGCGAGTCGACGCGACGATTCGCGTGCGTGGTCAGCGTGATGCTACGCACTACGTGCGTCAATCCCGCGCGTCGTCTCGGCGGTCGGCTGTCCGCTGTCGGCCGGTCGGCGTCGCGCGACTCACCGCCGCGCGTACTTTCGAGAAATAAACGTCATGTCATTCCCCTCCCACGTAAAAAAAAAAAAAAAAAAAGAGGAATTCCTCCGAGCGACGATTCGCGATCGCTTCGATCGTCCGCGATTTGTCGTCGGGACCGACATCTGTCGGGGATAAAAGCGCCACGATAACTCCGTATTTATTTTCCTCTCATCGTTCGTTGTACGGTTATATAATTAGCGTTATAATTGGATTACTCTAGATTGCGAAAATAGTGGTAATAATAACTCTATCGAATGCATGAGAGAGATAATGTTATATATAGGCAAATAGCAATAAATAGAAAATGCCATTGTAAACAGTAGATGTTATATGTACAATAAATACTTAAATATGTACATACATCACCCAATTAATAAACACAAGTGATTAGTGACTAAAATGTAATTTATAATAATATCATCAATTTCTAACGTATCTATTTTTAATTACATTTAAAAATGTGATTTTTGAATAAATAATTATATTTATATAATTTAATTTAAATATACTTATTTATTACATAGAATTTAAAGTAAAATTCTTCCTATAAAATCTTTTTGTGCAATTTTTTAATTAAATTTGATTTCACTAATTCACATTATTATAACATCGCAAAATCGATAAAATTAAAACGTCGGCGGAATATATTTTTATTTTTCGCGAAGCAAGTAGCCTCGCTACTTTCCGATTTATCGACAGACGTTCCTCGGGGCTTGGCGATTTCGTCATCTCTAGCGACATAATCCTCGGGACTCTCGAGAACCGAAGTAACCGAACATCCGCGATAGGCGGTCCACTGGTGAAAATTCGGAGCAATCGGAGTTTTACCAGCGCTCCCGCTGTGGATTTTAACAACACGCCGGTGGCAGCACTGTGCGATCGCTAATTTACGTTGAACGACACGTATTTCGGTACGTGTCCGTGAACTGCGTAAATCACGCGCATATTTCGCGTAACGACCACAAACGATCCACGGGAAGGTGAACGAAGGACGTAGAGCGAATCCGAGGATCCTTTTATCACAGAAGAAGGTACGTTCCGCATGCGTGATCAAGTTCGATGGGGAAAACGCAATCGTCTCCCTGTTACTTCTCGGGAGGGTAATCCGGGCCAACCGTCGTTCGATAAACAATAAGGGGAAACGAGAGAGCTAGAGAGAGAGAGAGAGAGAAGAAAGCGAGAGCGCGAGAGAGACGCGCCAACCCGTCCGATTTCGATACGATACGAGTATGATACGCGCTCACAAATATGGTCGCCCGTGCGACCTCATCTGTCAAGTGACTAAGACGATTCTTGCGCCGTGCGTTTTCGCTATGTGCCGTTAGCGAGAGGAGCGAGGGGGAGAGAGAGAAAGAGAGAGAAAAAGCGAGGAGAGAGAGAGAGAGAGAGCGAGAGAGAGAAAAACAGCGACATCGAACTGTCTCGGCCGCCGGGCCGCCAAATTTCAGGTAAACATTTCTGGGGGTACTAAAGAATCATTAGAAAAGCCGGATCGGCGGATCGCCGTTCCCATATGTGCGAGAATTCGAAGATTTCGCGATTTGTTGACCCAAGGCTTCTCCGCATCCCGGCTCGAGGTTGCGCGCGGCACTCTCGCCTGACGTCGCCTCGAGCCCTCCGCCCCGTCAAAGGACCGGTGGGAGCGCAATCGGAATTGACTACCCGAGGGAGTATCTTGTTTACAAGCGGAGTGTCCGTTTGGAGAATCACGTTTCAACACTATCTGAACTGTTTATTTATTTTTGAGCGATGACTGCCGATAGAAACACGGCGCTCAGTTTGTCAATAAAATTGTCTTTAAGCCTCTTGACGTTATCTTTGACGACCGTGTTAAGTGGAGTGAGACGCTGATAACAAGAATTTACAGGTAATCAGCAGACGCATCGTTCACATACACTGGATATGAAAATGAAGATCCCAAACGGCGGGTCTGGAAACGGGACTTATTACGGACAAGAGACAGGCATCACTTCCTATATGGACAACAACAGCGACACGGAGGCTGAAGTGCAAGCGATAGGCGATGGCGACTTCTCGGAGTACCTCTGGATGGAAAATGAAGAGGAGTTTGACAAGCAGGTACCTTATTTATAGATATAAAGCTTCTCACAGTTATTCGTTATTCCACACTCAACGTTTCTATTGGCATCAGGTGCTCCAACAACTGGAAGAGGAAGAATTGATGGAGGAATGCTTAGAAGCGATGCTGGAAGAAGAGAGGCAACATCAAAGAAATATGAGCTCTACTGCTTGGTCCACGGCTACTGGCACTCCCGACAATAATGCTGCTGAACTTTGTCAACAACTAAGCAGTCTGAGGATGCAAGACGATCTCGCCAAGCAGGTACCTGAAGAAATGTTTATCTTCTTTCAAATCTATTCTACATTGTGTTTTTGCCTTCTGTTTCTTGTTTTTTACTATTTTTTACTTGTTCAATTTCTTTGTTTTCTGTTGTCCAATAAAAACTTGACAAACTTTGGAAAAGACGAGAAACACAATTGTCAATAAAACAACCGCAAAGAGGAAAAAAGCAAGAAATAGAAAACAAAGAGTACATTATGCTTTAATGAGAGAAAGAGAGAGAA